CTTCTGTATTTTGTAAATGGACTGTTTGGTTCAAAAGCGTGGGGTTGTTTTTTGGTTTTGTTTTGGTTTGGTTTTTTAATTTACTGTGAAAATTTGTGTTTCGTTTTGTTTCCTAGAAGGGATGAAGGTTGTTGTTGGCTAGTTCAGTGAGTTAAAGTCATCTTAAAATTGAACTGACCATTCAGAACAGTGGGAACAGGTGCACTGAATCTGAATGACTTCAGTCTTGGGAAAAGAATGAAGATTTTTTGTTTGGTTTTTTTTTTTTTTTTTTTTTTTAAAGAGGTAAAGCAATAGTAAATATGTGACAAAGGGGGATTTTGATAAAAGGGTTAAAAGACAATTAGTAAATGTGGATTCAGCCTGTGCCCTTGTTTTTTGATGAGCAGTTAAACTTTTGAACTGAGATATAAATAATATCTTCATTACTCCTGTTCTTAGAGTCATAGGGAAGTCTGTGAAGGCTGTGATCCTTTTCTTCTAAGTCTTTGTTATACAGGACCACTGGAAAGGAAATGAAGTGTTTAATACAGCAGTGAGAATACTCTGATGACAGTCCAGCTCTGTCAGCATGTCCTTTCTAAATTCCTGTTCTCTGAGTTTTGGTGAGCATGAAAACTGGCTTCAGGCTAAATATGTGAAGATTTAAGGCTAAACTCTAACAAGTCTAAAGGGATTTTGATGAAGGAATCTTTTATTGTGACAGTGTGAATATATGTCATAAGGAATATTTCTTAAAATGAATTTTAAAAATAGTCATATTTAGGTACTCGAGTGTGATAGTTTTGTGTGATGATTCTTGGAGGGTTTGGTTTGGTAATTTTGGCTTTTTTTTGGGTTGTTTTATTTTTTTGGGTGTGTTGGTGTGTTCTTTTGTCTTTTTTGTTTGTTTTTCTTTCTATTTAAAGTTAAAAGGGAGAATAGGCTGATAAGAAATAAGGAAAATCGTATGTGGAGTAAAATACTGATCTGTGCTCATATGGAGGTATGTAATTAGCACAACAAAAACTGTTACAAGCAGGACAATGCTCATATTTACTCAAGCACCTCAGGAACAGACAGGAATTTGAATTTCTCTGAATTTGTCCTGCTGCATATTGGTTGTGCATAGGTTAGGTGGTTAAAAATGATGCGGGGTATCTCTGCTTTGGTCTAGAATAGCAGTCATAGCCCTCAGGGCAATGCAGGCATAACAGCAGTGAAGCAGGGCCCAAAAGAATTCAAGGGGCATGAAGCTCAAAGGCAATTAACAGTGTTTCAGTTACATTCAAAAATATGGTCTTTCGGACGAGGGTATAACTTTTATTTGTTTTATTAGCATATGCTAAGAATGTCTTTTGTGTCAAATGTCAGTGAGAACATGAAATTGGAAGGTCCATTGCCCTTCTCTAGTTTCCAACAGCCCCAGTTTTAAAGTCTGGGGAATACTGCCTTATTTTAAATGTATTTCCTTCTTTCGATGTTAATGGACAGTTGCATTCATTTAAAATAATTATATCTCCTTTTAGCTTTTGTTTTCTAAAACAAGATGCTAAAAAAAATTTAACTATATTAGTCTTATTGCCTAAAAGTTGTTCGCCATTCTTACCAGCATTCTTAATCCTGTTTCTTGAATATGAATGGCAAATGTATACAGTATTGCTGATAAAGTGGAAATACCTTTCCTGATGTATCTGAAAAGCAATTTGCTTTTTTCGAGGTTGTTGATGCCTTATACTCAGCCTGTCTGTGAATGATATGCTTAAGTCTTTCTGCTGCTGTGTTTGCTGAACTGGCATGCTTCTAGCTTGTAGAGGAAGTGCTAGTTGTTACTAATTGAATGCATCACCTCGTACTTCGTACAGTTGCGTGTCTGTTACTCAGATCTTCCATGTGTAATTCTTTCTATATCCCTTTGCGGTTTTACTTGTTACAGATTCTGCCTTTTAAATTTCATTATAAAGCTTCTACAGTTTTTGCCGTAGCGTTCAGTGAAAATCTGAAATAAAATTAGCCTTGCCACTGAGTCTCAAGGAACTCTTATCACTGTTTCAACCCTGCCATTTCCTGATTAGCCAGTCTGTTATTCTCTCTAATTTCTTTCCAACTGACTAATCAATTTTGAAAAGCCACTATATCAACTGCTTTATTGAAGTCCAGAAGATAAAAGCTACTGCATTTCCTTTGTCTAGACAATCAGTTATCTTACTGAAGGAAAATAAGATATCAGTCTGCTTGATCTCCATTTAATGAACATGTGTATTTTCCTAATAAGAATATACATATGTATATATGAATATTGTGGCAACCATTAGTAATACAGTCACTGGTCAGGGGGAATGCAAAATCATGACTAAATCTTAAATTATTGGGAAAATCCAGAATAACTTGCAGTTTTTAGTAATATGCCAACTAGACTATCCACTATCCTTGTCGGCCTACTGATGATGTTAAAGTCTAACTATGCAGAGCATGAAACATTGTGAGCTTATGTGACTTGAGGAAACTGCATTAACGAAGGTCTGAAACATAACCGATGGGGTGGTGGGTGGTCTGATTTTTATTTTTTCTTCTCTCCTATAACATATTTTAGAGGCTTGACATCTGTGAGATCTTTATGAGCTCTGAAGTCATGTTCTTAATCTTAAGAGTCTAACATGGAGGGTTAGCATCTAGTTTCATTACATTAATTGGTGGTTTATATTCCCAAATAATTTCCAGGTTAAACATGTCACTCATTCTTTTTGCATTGGGCTATATGGTTACATTTCCCTTTAGTACCTACCACAGTTATTTCCAGTGTTTCTGACAGCAACTTTAAATCTGTTTGGATCTCAGTCTATTGGTGTGTTCCAAATGGCAGCAGGAGGTTCTAGGTTGCTCACAGGTGATCAAAACCCTGAGGTGGTCTTACATGCTTCACATATCAGTGTTGTTCAGTGTTTAGATTTTTCCCCTTCTCAGTTTTATGATTCCTTAGGGAGCTTTAGTGTTAACACTGAGCTAGAGTAACATATCAGAAAGTAATGCAGATATCTTTAAAGCACAGAATTGCATTTGTTTTGCTGGAAGTCTAGTCAAGTGATAGAGAATCTCCTTTGGACAGTCCTAACTTTAAGTTGTCTTCATGAAGTAATGAATAATTATAATGAATAATGAAACTATTATTGAATTTGGTATATGTGCATTTGAAACACTGTTCTCTCATGAGCATTTTAAACTTGGTTAACAACAAACTTTTCAATAAACTTTAAGCTTAGGAAATATTTCTGCAGAAAAAAATGATTTTATGGGATCTCAGTTCATTGCATAATTTTATCTTATTTAACAAGTAGTTGCTTTTCTATGGAGAAAATAAGGGTTTCAAGCTTAAGGTATATTCCTGGTGTTTTACATTTCTCCTTGGCAGTTTTGGAGTTCTCAAAGACAAAGATTCTGCTCTTGTGTTTAAAGGAAAATATGGGTCGATTTTGTTCAGAGGTAAATCCATTTGTTAAGAAAATGGACTCCTGAATTGTCATCATGGGTCCTCAGAATATGTTCTCCCCTTTGCCTGCTTAGTGAAAGAACCTTTTTCATGTAATAAACAGCACTGAAGTATCAAAACTCTTAAGATGAGGTTGAAAATACAATACTACAAAAATTACTATTTGGTTCCTTTTTTATACCAGATTCTCTTTTACAGGCCCAAAGCTGCTGCTTTTGTAGTGGTGTTACTTCAGTGACCTGGGTTTGCCTCCGATTCACATTGACACAGCCAGGAGTGGCCCTTAATTGTTTTAAGCAGTATCTATTTTACAAAAAGCATGACTGGAAAAGCATTACATGTTTGGAAAATACCTGTGAAACAGCACACTTTTCATTACACTTATTGAATCTTTCCCTGTGAAGAATAGTTTTTGTTCAGACTGTACTTTCCTTACTAAATTGCTGCCATTTAGCATTTAGCTGAATCCATTTTGCCATGAGCTATCTCGGTGAAAGGGTCATTCTAATTAGGTATATCACAGTTAATTAAAATGATACTGTAATTTCATTCTTTTTGTTATGGCCTAGAAATTCTGAAGTTTTAACAATAATTTCTTGTCTTCTTTTATGCTTCTCCCCTTATTTTGCTGGCTCTGAAAAACATAGCCATTAGCAGCTTAGATATTGTTAAGGCAGAAATTATGCTGGTATATTAGCGTTCCTAGAATGGAAACCATTGCAGAAACCACATGTGCTACCTTAGCAGTGAAATAACTGCAGCTGCAGTTTGTTTCAATGACAGTGATATTACTGCATTGTTTGGTGTTTGGTATTGAGTTTAGGAAAGTGGGAGGCAGAGGCAAAATTAAAAGTTAAGATGCTCTATTTAATGTGAGTATACCAAAAAGAGGTATTATCAAAAAAGCCTTGTTAAGTACAAGGAATTAAGACTTTTTCTTTTTCTTTCTTTCTTTCTTTTTTTTTTTTTTTTTTTTTTTTTTTTTTTTTTTTTTTTTGGGGTTTTAATTTTGTTTTTTCTTTTTTTTTTTTTTTTTTTTTTTTAGCTTATGAGTGTTGACATTGTGTTTCCTGCTTGTTTTACTGGAGAACAGAAATGACATATGCAGCTAGTGTGGAAACTTTCATTGGCACGAATAGGCATGGGACACAGCTTTCAAATCTCCAAATTTTGATCTGTGAGTGAAAAATAGTAGTTTTATCTTCCTTGACAACATTTCCATTGTACAGCCTGAATGAAAAGGGTATTAAAAATTGATGTACAAATGTACCAATTTCTTTTACTTAGTCTAACTTCAGTGTTATGTTGGAAAACTTCTAGTTTTCCAAAATAAGTTTATATTTGTCATTAAAAAAATCTAGATTACTTGTTTATTAGTGAAACCAGTCACGTAACTGGCTTTAGTGTGTTAACAAGATCTGAGGTTATAAAAGAAAGGTGGTTAAGTGAAAATGGCCCTTCAAATAATTTCATATGTAGTGTTCTCTGTCTTAAGGCAGCACCCAAATTCTTTAGAGCCAGAAGAAGCTCATAGCTGAGAGGCCTATTGTGTTTTGCTGACTGTGTTTCTAAATGCTCTGAGGAGATAAATCACTTGGATAGCGTGCTGGATGAGATACAGTATGGGAGTTATACATCAGAAGTCTCTGAATTGCCTGGCTTTTAATGTAGCTCTGACCAGCTGGGTTGTATAGCTCAGATGTGTGCTTTTTGGGGATGGTTTCAATTAGATATTGGGCTTTGAAGAGGTATTAAAATAGCACAGTGGTTGGAATACATAAAAGTATTCGTTAGGGGGATACCCCCAGCTGTGAACAGAGGAAGGAAGCTGAGTAATCCAGTGGTATGTGGAATGGGAGACAAGAACCTATGTTCCTAATTTTACCCCAGGCTTACTATATTATCACAGGCAAGTCACAAGTATTGTATTTCTATGCCATAGAGGATTTGATTTTTATGGGATTACTCCCAGTGCATGAGATTAAGTATGTGTACATTGGTAGGATCAGCGTGTTAGGTAAGCAGTCTTAGTGTCTGAAGATGCTAAACATGAAAATAGTGGCTAGGTAAAGAGGAGCTTCTGCCTCAGTAAAATAGGGGAAACGCTTAGGTGTTATACTGATGTTCTAGGGTTAACTTCCCATTTTACCAGAATATACTGTAAAAAATCATAGAGTAGTAAAATGCTTTAGATTGGAAGGGACCTTAAAGATCATCTAGTTCTCACCCCCTGCCACTGGCAGGGACACCTTCCATTAGACCAGGTTGCTCAAAGCCCCATCCTACTTGGCTTTGATCACTGCTGGGGATGGGGCACCCAAAACTGCTCTGGGCAACCTGTGCCAGTATCTCACCACCCTCATAGTAAAGAAGAGCCTTTTCTTTTCCAGGCTGAACCACCCTAGGTCTCTCAGCCCGTGTTCCTAGGAGAGGTGTTCCAGCTCTCTGATCATCTTGGTGGCCTCCTCTGGACTTGCTCCAGCAGGTCCACGTCCTTTCATCCATTTGTGTGGCCTTTTTCATTTTCTAATGATACTTGGTTGCAAGGAAGCTCTCTTGCCTAACAAAATTATGTCATTTTTATTGTCATTAATCCTTTTAAACAAAGGAATGCTGAGAAGATTCAAGCAGTCTAGAGTCTTTAATCCACTAGTCCTTGCGTTGTTTGGATGTTGTTACATACAGTTGTTGCATGCAAGATGAATCTTGACCCCTTTGTTCTTAGTTAAAAGATTTCCCTGCTTTTAGGTAATGCTGGTAGCTACTCTGACATTGAAGATCTGCATTCTAACTGAGGGGGAAATACTAAGTGTTTCTTCTTTCTTCCCCAGGATATGCAGTGGGCTACCAGTGGCATTAGAATTGAGTTTTCATCCTGGTGCAGGCTTTTGCACCTCTTCCTAGATGCAGTATGTGTACTACTGCAGAAAGGCCACTTTCTGGCTGCACTGATCAGCAAGGAGTTTTGAAATGGAACTGCTAGTGTTGTGAAAGTATCAATCACAGAGAGAAATAGTTTTCATTTCCTGTAGCTAAATTCCCTATAAGTAATTTGTATTTCTGGCAGCTTTGGGGTGTGTGGAAAAGTGGAAGTTACTGCTTTTCCCCCACCCTTTCTCTGTATGCACAGTGCTGGCCAGGATGGAGCAAGAGTGCTGTAATTTAAAACAGTTTCTCAGCAGCTAACCTAAATAGCAGGACTGTAATGTGTTTCTTTTTCTTCCTTAAAGGTAATAAAGGCAGTAGAAGCTGAATTTTTCTTCTAATCATTTTGTGTCTAGAGTTCATCTGTCTACCTGAAATGAACTGGGATCTGTCATGAAGAATTGGTACCTGAGGTGTTGCTGTAGCTGCTGGGTTTATTAACCCTTTGTTGCAGGAGGGGACGGAGTGGAGTGGGAGTTCCACAAAGTATTACTATGGCTGATGAGAAGGAATGTGATTTGAACTGGTATTTCATTTAGTTACCTAATTGAGCCATCTTTAATTTAAATGTTACTCTGTATAACCTTAACTGAAATATTTTGTGTAGTCCTACTTTGTTTCCAGTTAGCCGCTGGGGACTTCACTTTAGTTATTTACTGCAGCTTGTTTTCACCTTTTTTTGAGTGTGGTCATGTTGCTCATTTTAACATGCAAACATGTGGAGCTTATTCCTCCTCCTCCTTTTTTGAAGAGTGTCAGACTCTCCTGACCCATTGTACAGGAATTCCTGTAATTTGCAGGAGCACAAAGCCATTTGTGAGAAATTTTTTTTCACACATGGAGAGAACAGATCTTTATTCTCTGTAAGTAAAAAGCAGGGAAGTCAGGACTAGATTACAGAACAATCATATGTCAGATTGGTGTGTGTGCTTTCATGGAAAATTACATAGTGTAAGTACAGCAATTAAGTATTAGTACAAAAAAGAATTTCTATGGAAGTCTTGTATAAATGCTTGGCGCATAACATCCAGGAATATGTTTGGCCATAGGCTGTGGTGAGTAGGAAAAGAAAGCTGAAAGGCATATTTGTGAACTTCCATCGTTTTGAATTTGAGACTCTGCAGATCCACTTTGCAAAAGGTTTTAATAGAAAAAGGCTGTGAATGTGGAGGTTTAGGGAAGAGGAGAGGACTTTCCTTTGTGACATGAACTTAATGAGCACAAACTGGCTGCTGGTAAGTCAAGCATGGAGCCTAGGTCAATTTCTGATTACTGAAAAAGAAAAAACAAAGATGCAGAAAATGAGTAGAGCTCTTTTCTGAGAAAGGGGTTCAGTGTAACCATGCTGACTCCTAGTGTCTTAAGAGCAAGTATGTGTGTTATATTGGCCCTGTGCCATAGGGCAACCTTTAGCTGTGCCCTCCATGCAAGACCAATTATGTTGTCAGATGATTCATTGGTTGCGAGCAGAGCAGGATTTATAAAGAATGTGTTTGGGACTGTGTTATCGGTGGAGGATGTGGGAAATTTAGGGGAGATAAAAGTGAGAGGAAAAAATATTGCTGTTAATACAATTGAACTGCGTAACTGGAAGAGGCTTTTGTTGTTGCTCTTCGGGAAACAAACTGAGCCTTTGCTCAGGAAGCAAGGTTTTCTTAAATGATACTCATTGGGTACTGGCACTTATCTTTACAGAGGAATGTTTTCAAGGCAAAATGATGGTCGGTCTGCAGCTTTTCTTTCTTGGAAAGAATAGTATACTGAGATGACCCTGTATTTAGGTGAAATGAAATGAGAATAGTAGGTCTGCTCTCAGGAGATCTTTAGCACATCTGTAACACAGACGTAACACATCTGTAACACAGTAGATTAATTAGAGGTTAAAACCATGAATAATTCTTTGACATTGTAAAGATCAGTTTTTAGCGGGGGGGGAAATAATAATCTGCCAGACTTTTTGAACCGTTTTTTTCTGAAGCTTATTTGGTTGTTGATGGTAGCTCTAGTACTAGCAGGAGATCTCTTAAATGTAGGCACTTGTCAAGTGAAGTGCATGATTACAAAATTACCTTCAATTTACACAGGAGCAGAGAAGGATTAGTAGGAGATCTTAGGCCACAGAACTAATGATGCTAATGGTGATGTTGATGCTTCCAACTCTTGCTTCTTAACATTTTCCTTGGAAGAACTAAGGTTTTGAATATAAATTCTGGAGTATTAGTATTTTTAAGTAGAAATTGGAAGTCAGAAGTGAAATAGGCTCTATCATTTAGATGATCTATGGAAGTAACAAACTGGTACACCAAAAAGTAGTCCTGATGCATGTCCTCCAGCAGCAGTGGATGTTTTCCAAAGGCTTCTACCTTTAGGTTTATAAATAAAATTACCAAATGGGAAATGGTATTTTTTTTTTTTCCACTTAAAGGGTTTCTTTACATATGTTTCCTTTTTATGCCTATAATATAAAATAAAGTAATATATTTTTATGTTTGCTCTACACATCAATTGTAAAACTTAATAATAAATTATATGAAAAGAAGACTTCTGTAGCAAACTTCAGTGTTTTCCTGGTGGTGAAGAATGGAAAAGAGTGGAAGTCTGTCATTCCAACTCAAGAAACTTTCTGTTTGGGGGAGTGCAGAAATCCTGGAAAGTTACCTTCTGGTGTGTGATCCTTACTAGTACTGTCAAGGCTGAGATGTAAATATTAATTTCCCTCTGCAGGAGCTTGCAACTCTGTGTTCATCTCATTGTTAAGGGAAGGAGAATCGTACTCTCTTATAGGAGAAAAAGACCCCAGGAAGTAGATACACTGCAGTTGGCATATGAGTTTTGAAGAAAAGCAAGGTCTGGGGTTTTTTCTGGGTATCATGGACTCTGAATTGATATTCTCTAATAGAGGCTGAAAATACTATTTTTCTGTCTCCTTGCGAGCAATGGTGAGATATTAAGTGAGGTGCCGTTTCAGGAACTGCATGTTTCACTGTGGCAGCGCTTCCTGCACACAGTTGTCATGGGAAGAAATTGGTAAGTGCTAAGACCAAAGATGTTATGTAGCAGAAGTTAACAGCTGTATTAAATTGTGGTGGTATAAACAAAAATTAGCATGACAGAAATGAAAGGACATGGAGAGCATGAGAAAGTATGGAGAGTCTATACTTTCGGTATGGACTCCATTAGCCTCAGCACTCAGTTCTGGAGGGCAAAGGAATTTTATTTTAAATAGATGTTAGATGGCTTTCTAGAGATGAATGTAGATCAGAAAAGAATTCTGTGAAGTCACAGGTAACAGGCTTCTAGATTTTAGGTACTTGTTATTTTGCATGGTGAGTGGGCTTCCCCTCTCTCTGAAGAGGTCTGGAATTCTGTCATTCTTGTGTTTGTGAAACGCTTTGTGAATTTCATTCAGGGGTTTCTTCTCTTGTGTACAAGGAAGAAGGCAAGTATTGTTAACTCAGAGCAATCTTGAGGTGGTTGGGGTTTTGTTTTTTTTTTTTGTTTTTTTTTTTTTTTTAATTTTTGTGGATCTTCATATGCCCTTAAACTGTTCCTTTCAAGATATATGCAATTGCGGATTGCTCACAGGTTTGTGGAGCGATGATGGTGTAGAGAGTGGAGCATAATTCACTGCCTTTCTGTACCATGATCTCTGTGTAGGAGGATGAGAATTTTAAGCTGCAGTGTTTAACTCTGACCTGTCATACACATTTTGTTAATCCAAATATTATCTTGAGCTGAAGTCTCATATGCAGTGTGGATCAATGCTAAGCTTTCCGTGTAAAAGAATACTCACCTATTATTTTTTAATGTGGCCTTTCAAATAAGTCCAAGTATGTTTTAGTTTTCAGAGGGAATGGGGAACTGAAGGTCATTAATATTGGGTTTATTTCACTCTGATCTTTTTAAAAACAAGAGATGTGGAATTTAATAAAGTGATTACTGCTCTGTGATGATGCTTATGCTGACAATTTTGGAGCTAAGGTTCTTGCAACAGTATTAGATTAGGTATTATTTCAAGATCTTTTAGTGCTTAAAACTGAGCAGAGTGACTTCATGAAGTTGCAGAATGCAATAGAAAAAAA